CCAACACTGTAGGAGGATATGCTATGCAAATATCTTGAGCCTGCAAGGACTTTGGAAATTGGTCTTGGGATCCACCATGTAATACCATTTGGAAAGCATCTGATAGGCAACAGCCTAATTCTTCAGCATGACAGTGATCCCAAACAATGCCAATACAATAAAAGGATACCTGGATAGAAAAACTCACAATTGAACTCAGTCCTGGACTGGCATTCCCAGAACCTCAGAATTATTGAAAAATCTTGACAGAGAACAGAAAAAAACACGGCAAACATCCGGAGAACTATTCCTGAAGACGGACGACTTAAAGAAATGACCAGTTCAGGCTGTGTTGAAGAGTAAAGGTCATACTAAATATTGACTTGTACAAACACTGTTTTTGCCTTGTTTATTGTATTTCCATGCATGTTTGTACTTTTCAATGCATTCCGTTACCTATTTCCCAAATAGAAAATATAAAGAAATGATAGATCGAAATATCATCATGTATTATCATATATGAGTACACTGGCCAGTTCTCTGGCACGCAGCACTATCACTGATGAAATCTATCACTGGAAGCAAGCAGTCTCTTTGCAGTGACCTCAGATTGTGCTGATGATATGTGATGCCCCATTTACCTAAAAATAGGTAATTCAAACATATTTGATGTCGTGGGAAGTGATAAGATATCAAATCAAACAACTGAAAACAGGAAGAAAAAAAAAAGGGTTTGAGCGCTTGTTTCTGAACTGATAGCAGCAGCACTGATATAGCACTGCCCCCCAGTGGGCATTCAAGAAGCTGCAAGTGGCCTGTGTAAAATAAAAGATGTTTTTATACAATTATGTTTTCAATTACTGGAAGTATAAACAGGAAAAAAAATCAAATAAAAGAAACCCATAAGATTTATATCACACCTTTTGAAATATAACTTGTGAATCAGAGAGTTAAAACTGAGCCAAAGGTATCAGCTGGCAAAAGGATTTATAAGAAATTAAATGTCTGGGTGGACCACAGAGCTTTTAAACTCTAAATAGCCTCAGGCTTTTCTCTTTGGAGGAACAGACAACAGTAGGCAGATTTATTTTTCATAGAGCATCTTTATAGAAAAACATTTCTTCACATTTTCAAAAAAAACAAAAAAAACAAAACATTTTTTTGTCTTTGCACTTATTCTCTTTTTTTAGGTTATTTATTTTAAGGTAAGGTCTTTTTTTTTTTTTTTTTTTAAAGTCTACTAAAGTTGAACATTTTTAACATCCATCTGTGTCAAAGGCTCTTGCTGAGTTGCTGGGGCTTGTAGAAGGTGTCTGTTAGAAAACATGGGCGTTCACAGCTGCAACGTTCATCAGAACCGGCGCCGACCAACACCAAGAAAGAAAAACAAAAACTGTTCCCACTCGGGCAGGAAAAGCTTTCCCGCCTGTCAGCCGGGCTCGTTTCCGGCCCACGTTCAGCCTCCAGTCGTCACATCCTTCCACTTCAGCAGCACTCCAGTTTTAGCCTGAAGGCACCTGTGTTAACAGCGCTTTTTGCTTTAGTCGATATGGACTTCAGTTTCTGTTCTACATCCTGCAGTTACCAATTCTAAATCTACAGTCTGTCACACTTCTACAACTACCCAGGCCGCAGCATGACAAGTAGGTCCTACTGTCACCCAGAAACAAACAAAACAAAAAGTACTCCAAAAGTTTACAAAAAAAAACTGTAAAAAGAAAAGACAGAAAGGAGATACAGGTGTTATTAACAGCTACTCTGCACATCGCTCTGCTAAGTGTACCACGGGTTCTTTGCTGTGATGATCTACTTCGATACAGTTCACACAAAGAAAGAAAAGCTTTAACACAAAGCCCCGAACAAAAATCTGAACTCACATCATCACCGCCGCAGATCAACCTTAAGTGTTATTTATTTTTTAAATCGCTCCAATTGATTTTGTACCTTTGTGAAAGGTTGAGGTCTTAAAGGACCCGTGGTCTAACATTTAGTCTCTGATTTGATCGTCTCTGAAGCGTGTCAGTGGGGAGAAAAAAAAACAAAAAAACGTGGCTCAGCTTACTCGTCGCTGTAAGAAACAGCTTACTGACTTCTTCAGATTAGTTTCAGAGTCTCTGTGCCAGAGCTAAACTGAAAATATTAGAGCAATATTTCACTGAAATATCCTGAAACGCGTACCTTCACTCAGAAATCGGGGCTGGGAAACAAAAGCACAGTCTGAAAGTTTGAGGACAAACAGTCAAATCTTCTTCTTCTTTTTTTTTTTTTTTTTAAACACGTCATAAAGACGAGACCCACAAACTCAGTATGTCTACTCATTAGCTACCTTGCATTATAAATATATAAAGTTTAAAAAAGTGCTTATTAAAAGAAACTATAGTGATGTGATAACTTCCAGCAGTGTCATTCTCATTTTTGTTCTTGACCAGCATTAATACGAAATGTCAGGGAGAGCAAAACGGTCGTCCTTCACAGTCCTCCTCCAACACTGACAAGGATTGTCCACAAAAAAAAGAAAAAAAAAACCCCAAAGAACTGGTCTCCCATTAACATTCATTCAACGTGTACACAAAGATATACGTTTTTGGAAAAGCATAGTTAATACAAAAGGAGACTTCTCAAACTAAAGAGGAAAGTATTGGCCACTGGTAACACACTGCTGCTGCGACCGACTGGAACACAAGACGACAGGTAAAAATTAAAATAACTAGCAATAATTGCACATAACCTTCGAGAGCCAAGATGTCTGATAAGAGGACTTCACAATAAGATGAGTTGCAGGAGGGGTGTGGCACGCTATGGTTTAAATATACTGGATCTGAGGAGATAAGCACATTCAAAGAGGCACAGCTGCAAACGGTGCAGCTCTGTGTCCTTAAAAGTGCCGCTCTCATCCAACGTCACCGGCTACTCTTCAGATGTCTTCATCCTCTTGTTTCCGGGTCTCTCTGTACCGGCGAAGAGTTTTAATGACGTGCCTCTACATCCTCTTAGGCGATCATGTACTGAGTGATGGCTCTCAGCGCGTACAGCAGCTCCGCCTGCAGCCGGGCCTCCATGATTAGTAAGTTTATGTGTATCTGAGGAGAGAAAAACTAAACATTAACACAGAGGGCTGGTGTTAGTGATAAGAAACAGTTTCTGGGAATGTGTTGAGTGGACAGGTTGATGTGACGGGGAATGCGCACATTTGTTGGAGTTATGCTTCTAGTTCAAATCTGTGCTGTAGGGGGCGCCAGTATTACTCCCTGGTTTGAACAGGTAAACCATGAGCCACAATGCATTTCATCCTTCTGCACTTTCTCCCTGCTTTCCCATCTAAAAGCTAAAAATCACAAAATATATTTAAAAATCTACACTGCAGATACACCATAACCCTACACCCTGACATCCACCTGCAACATCCTGCAACTTTAATGGCCTGTTCAGTACTCTTGTTTCCAGCTCTTCAGTTGGTTCAGAAAAAAGCTGGCAGAAAAAGAGAACTGACCAGCTTGGAGAGAGAAATCCCAGAGCAATGCAGGCACACCACTACGAGCATAAAATACCTAAACTGGAACTGAAGAAGCTTCTCGGATGAGAGGTGAAACATCTTCAAGAAATTTAAAGAAGTCTAGTCGCTTTCTTTTTAAGCTCCTTAGACCAAGTATAAACCTGTATCAATGTGGCTAGAGTCAATGCAGTTCTTTTCCCACCTGATTTTAGCGTTTCTTTGTTTAGTTTCAGTTGATAATGACCTCAGTTCAAAAGCGAAAGCTCTGCTGATCCTGCCAGATCCTTGTTTTCCTGCATTTGTGCCAAATTAAATATTGCGGCTCTCACGTCTAGCGTCATACATTGTTTGCAGACATGACAACTTTCTTCGTAACACGAAAAATAGTCTTACCCGTTCTGAAGTCTTAAGTGGAGTCCATCTCAGCGGACACACTGGAGTTTTGGTGGAGTCCGGAAAACAGGCCACAGCCTTGACGTACAGCTTCAAATCTCGCTCCAGCAACTGGTTCACTTCACCGTAATCGTAATCATCGTAGCTGCGACCAAAAGCAAACAACTTTAACTATTGAACACACACAAAAAAGCAGGTTTCTTTATGTCTCCTGTATTTTTATTGTTTCGGCACAAAGTGGCAGCCTCACCGTATTCCTAATACACAGTGGATGTAATTCCAGATCGCCCTCTTCAGGTCGTCACTGTGCAATGAGGAGAGGGTGGCTACGCTCCTGAACCGGTCATCCAGGAGGTGCCCGATGTCAGAATACAATCTGTTGACTAAGGAGAAGCCGTGATCTTCCCAGGAATAGTCCTAGAGGGAAAAATCGGGGTCACATGAGTTTTCCTCATTGTACTACTTTGTGAGGAGTTCTGAAAATTGCAGTCAAATAGAAGAACATAACATTTTTTTCCTCGTGATTGATGACAAACCTTTAATCTATAGAGCTTAAGTAGTAAATATTTGAAACTACTTTTCAGCATTAGTAATGCTTTTATTTGCTCTACTTTTATTATAATCCCCTAAGGCTAGCCCCACCAATGTACCATGCTGTTCTTCATTTTATAGTTTTTAGAGGCATTCATTTGTAAAATGATCCAAAAGTGTTGCCGAATATAATTTTGTTATGATTCTTCAAGATTTCTCCCAGATATGTACTAAGTCCCATCTCCACACAGAAAGATCCTGACCAGATGATGGAAACCCAGGCCCTTCTTGCTCTGTGTCACCATGCTGCTTCCCATCAGAGAATTATGCCTTCTGCGATACATTTATTAGCGGACATCCCCGTCGCTTTGTTTTCAGTGTTCAGTCACTGCTAAACTACAAGCTTTGGGCTCTTCCTGCCATGTGCTTCCTGAGCAGCCGGCTCACAAGCCAGGTCTCTATTGTGGTGGTTCTCAACATCTTTCAGCCATCCCTACAGAGAGGACATGATGCCACTAACAAGCACAAATGGAGGACAAGTTAAATGATGCCATTTGGGGGCAGCTTGAGCTGTGGGATTTAGCTTTTATAGTGAAAGTAGGAAAAAAGTAGAGGACTTGGAGAAAAGAGACTCCTAGCTCTCTGTTGTACTACTTCTTCTCCTGTTAACAAACACAGATTTTCTGGTAATTTACACCTAACTCTTGAGCCACGATTGCCCTGTGTGTGGGGCGATCGTGGCTCAGGAGTTCGCCTTTTAATCGGAAGGTTGCTTGTTCGAGCCCCGGCTCGGACAGTCTCGGTCGTTGTGTCCTCGGGCAAGACACTTCACCTACCGCCTACTGGTGTTGGCCAGAGGGGCCGATGGCGCGATATGGCAGGCTAGCTTCTGTCAGTCTGCCCCAGGGCAGCTGTGGCTACAACTATAAATTGCCTCCACCAGTGTGTGAATGTGTGTGTGAATGGGTGGATGACTGGGTGTGTAAAGCACTTTGGGGTCCCTAGGGGGGACTAGTAAAAGCGCTATACAAATACAGGCCATTTACCATAACTTACATTTATCTATTTTCATTTTATATTGCGCCTTATGAACTGGACCATGATTAAGAAAACGCATCTAATTAAAATATGAAGGGGAAAAAACTTCAGCTCACACCTTGTTAATTATTCATCTCCTGTTGGTCTGTGAGCCAAAGCAGTGTGTTAAAATGTCAAAGAAAGTACTGATTAACTAACTCTGCCTCGGGCTGCCTGATACCAAATTTACATGTTAATTTGGCTACCAGCATCTCAAAGTGCTTCAGACTGTGGCACAGATGCACTTCAGCAGTGGAGAGTAATAAAACTGTGCTAATGTCTTTAATAGACACCAGCCAGACAATCGGAAACTCAGAACAAAAAACAAAACCCTACACATAATCACACTGACACGTTCACTGCTATAAAGACACTCACCTGAACTCTGAACACTTGGAAGTGGTCCTCCTCCTTGCGTGCAAACTCCTGATAGCAAAAGTCAGGGTCTGTGATAAAACGCGAAGGATCTGCGAGGCATATCATCTCCTCCTCCTCTTCCGTGTCTTTAAAAGAAATGATGAACGCAAAGGAGATGATGAGGCTAAGTAAGGAGTGGTAAACGCTCAGGTTTCACACTGTGCGACTTCACTAACGCTCGAGGAGTGAGTGGGAATGTCTCGGTGGTGTTACCTGTCTGCTGGAGTGTTTGCTTTTCACGCTCTTCCTGGGACTTCTGGATCCTCTCCTTCAGACACGTCACATCACCACTTGAGTCCAGAGACTGCCCATCAAAAAAAAAAAAAGTATCTCATCAAGTTAGATATATTAAAGCAACTGCTAAGGGCACAGAAATAATCTAATTGCGTATGCAACATCAGAAAATATCCAACTGAATTTGATGATATTTATCAAAAGAAAAATACTGAACAAATTGGTCATTTTACACTATTAAACATTTTTTCCAATCCTTATTATATGATGGAAGGTGGGTGAGATGCACTAAGCACTCTCACAGTAATTTGAGCCCATTTTAAACCGCACCTTATTTAATACTTAAATACAAATAAAAAATACACTCCTAAAATACATTTTCATCTGGTAAAACTGGTGATATTTTCTTCTTATTCCTTTCCACAAGCACCAGTGGGTCGAGTGACACCAGTATTGCTCATATTGGTCCCTTTTTTAAAGCTATTCTAACTATTTATGAACTAATTTCAGTCTATAGCTTCAGATATGTATATAAGTATATTTTTACCCGTCGTCGTGTTATGTGTTCGGAGGGAGTGGCGAGGGACTGAGGCACGTTGGTGTTGCCGTTGGCAGCATCAAAGGGGCAGAAGGTCGGCGGAGTACCGTTGGGAGATTTGGAGGAGAGAGGGACAAAGTCTGCGTCTGTGTCGCATCCAAACACAAAGCTGCAGAGGGAGTGGCAGTGGGCCAGGATCACCACGGCCTGCACCAGCTCAGCCAGTGACCAGCACTGCTCGCCCGCCTTCAGCAGCGTCTGGAGAGCAGAGGCAAAAACAAACATTTAGAACGAGGAAATGAAATAAAACAAAGCATCCAAGTATTTTTTTTAAAATACTTATACAAATGTTAAATTTTATCCGTGGTCTGTCTTTGCTGTACCTGGATATGCGAGCAGGCGGTGAGCCAGGGTTGGTGGGCCAGCACTTTGTTAATGTTGTCAAGGAGCCGAAGGCGAAGGGGTGCCGCCTCCAAACCCTGCAACCACTTGGGATCCCCGCCCACCCTCAGAAAATGCGTCGAGTGCAGGTACACCAGGTAGTTGCAGTGATGACGTGCTGCAGCCTGTTAGTCACAGGAACAAAGACGAAAACTCAAAAAAAAAAGAAGAAAAAAAAAGCTTTGTGTACGTTTGGCTGCATGATGACAGCTGGTGAGGAGTTTGGATGTATCCTAGAGAGAAAAGCCAGGTCACTAACCATGATGGCGATGTAATGGCGGTATGGCAGCGGCAGGGGGCCATCCATGTGCAGGATGTAATGCTGTGTGCGCAGGAAGCTCTCCAGGTACTGAGGGTGAGACGCCATCTGCTGGGACACGGCATCTACACTCCCCCTGCTGACCAGCAGTGACACTCGCTCCTTCTCACCATTCACCATCACCTGCAGAAACAGCGACAGGACGAGAGAGACGGTTGGTTTCTGGAAGAGGGACCTTAAAATCATATTGTACCATAAGATGTTGTTCTCTCATTTTGTGGGAAATAGCTATAATGGCTGAAACAAAGTGCTGACAGAAGGAAAAAAAATATGAGAACATTAATGGCTGTGAAAAATCTTAAAATTATACTGGATGAAGCTGCTCTGAACTACACCACTGTAAATCAGCAATCGAGCAATCAGTTAATCCACAATGGGAACACATTTATTTATTGCCAGTTTTAAATAATAAAATATATGGGACAAAAAATAAAAATAATTCCGTAACCCAAGGATGACTTTCTTTTGGAGTAATCGTTACATCTGTAGCAAAAACAGGCTAGACTTCTGTGTCCGTGCCATGGACCGAACTTGTGTTACTCCCCATAAATCAGCTGAAAGAAAAACAGTCTTGGGAAAACAGCAGTGATACAGGCGCCACTGGCAAGTGAGCGCATTCCTTGCATTATTCCTTCTCCAAATAAAACAAGCAAACAACAGTAGCTCAGCTGAGAGCTCGTCAGACAAACAGACACCATGGAAGGTTGGCTGCAGCGGGGCCAGATGCTTCCTAGTTCAACACCACTTCATTATGATCAAACACAGAAGCAGCACTGTGGATTTTTTCTCCTTCTACTTCTGTGAAATGAAAATGGACAGCAGTCTGCTAAAACTAAAGGGGAAAAAAAAAAACCACCCATGTTTTCCTTAGAAAAGGGGATTTACATGCTGGGAGGAAGCACAGGCGAACCAACTAATGTGAAAGTTGAGCTTAAGAGGCCTTGAAGAGGGAAGCTCATGAGCAGCAGCAGCAGCAGCAAAGAAATTCATAAGCCCTAACAGACAAACAAGGGAGCGACTGGGCTCAGGAGCCGGAGGCCAAGAGAAACAGACCCATGCGGAGAGGGGAGCTGGATCGCCCTCATGGGCACAGCCTCTGTCACCATCTTACAATCGGTTCTAGGAAAAGGTGTTTGGGAACTCAGCCATGAGCAGGAATCAGCTCCACTGTATGTGAAACCCGAGTGTGGACGGCGCTCATCAAAGCCAAATGTTTCCCTCCAGTTTGGCAAAGACTTCTCCCTTTAACAGCTGAACGTCTGTCAAGGATTACTACTGTCCTGTCAAATCACAGACGCCTCAGCTTATGTCACAGATAGTCGTAGCAAATGGCGACTAGAAGGACTCGCTGCTTAATTTTAGCCTTGTACAGATCTTTGGTATTCAGCTCCATGTGGTATTTCACTTCTCCCTGCAGTCGACCAGGGTTTCCTCCTGATCCTGTAGGAGGCGCCACCTCTTGACCTATTATAGACTCCATGCTCAGATCTTAAAAAACATGTCAAGACAGCACAGATTTAACAAACATCACACTGAGACTGACGAGTTATTTTAACTCTAAGGAGAATGCAAGGGAATAAAACGAGCTAGCAGTGAATAACGCAAGCTTAGATGCAAACCCTGACCCTCAGTTATCTGTCATCATACATGAGAAATGGTTTGAATGGGAATGTAGAGTGCACAGGTGCCTGCCAATCAAAACCTGACAAGAGCACATTCACAAGAGTAGGTCTGATTAGTATGCTGAGCTGCAGAATCTAGGTTACAGCTCCATCAAAGCGCTAACTGGCTCGATGGGGCCTGCACCGTGAAGAAAACACACCAGTCAAATAACTAACATGTAAGGAGATCTGCGCCTGTTTTTTTTCCTAGTCTTTTCATTCCGGCATGAAATGGACTCCAACATAGATCGATCATACTTTTAGGCAAATACGAAAAACAATGACCAAGATGTGCAAGCACAGAAAACCTCTTTATAGGACTAATTATTTACCAAGTAATTTTGCTGGACAATATAAAAGATGTACTGTTGTGACTTTTTGAAATATTGCCAACTCAGTGAACAGATAAAGTACCCACTGGGGACACTCAAGTTGCTAAAATTACTGTTTTATATTATTATGCACTAGTACCTGCGATGAAAGAGGAATCCTGCCTCAAGTGTATACCCTTCTCCCTCACAGTTCATATTACATAAATCAGATATAAGAAAGCTAGACACCATTTCATCAGGAACAAGCTGGAAAGGGCTCGGGATGGGTTAGGATTATGATGGAGGAGAGCACAGAGGCTACAAAATAACTTACCACCAAGAAAGGAGCTGTGGCTGCTGCCATTTGGAAGTTTTTCAGTATATTACCAAAAAAAAAAAAAAAAAAAAAAAAAATCGTGTTCTGACCCCTCCAACTGTGCACGAGGCTCAGCAAGCTCAGCCACACCATAGAGAGTATAAAATAGGGATGTAAGGCAGCCGATTGTTTGGTGTTTTAAAACCAGATTATATGAGCAGGAGACTGACTGTGGCAGCAAACCTCACGATTTCTCAATCACAACTTGTCAGCCAATGAACATATCCTGGGTTATCCTTTTAACACTTAAAATGACCAAAATTTATAAAACAGCTCTAATGATTCAGAGGGTGGATCGTTAATCTTTTTACAATACTGTCAGCTGTGAGAAAGAATGCACTGGCTTCTCGTTTTAGAGCCTGAAGCTATCTATCTCCACCTGTCTATGCTTGGTTGTGATTTTATATTTTAAATACTCCCATGAGAAAAATAAGCAACTGTAAACATATATAAAAGGGAAAGCATTTCAAATCAGAGATGGGTATGGTTAACAGTTAAACACCAGTCTACAATCCCATCAACATTATGACAAACCCTCGGCAAAGTGGGAAACTAACCCTGAAAATGGCACTGACACTCACCCTGCTGATGCATCTTTTCTCGGTGTGATTACTTCAGCTAAAAAGGTTACCGTTAGAGAAGTCAAAGCCAAAATTAAGGACTTGTGCAAAGAACTAAAAACCCACGGTGCTAAGCAGTATTGTCAAATTGTAGCAAACACCCTGCATTCGTCATCGCACAGAAAAATACTGACAACACTCATAGAAACACACAGAAATCAGAAAAAGCAACCCTCTAATTGTCATATTCTGGTAATTTTCAAATCTGAAGTAAATAAGCAACAAACCTACTCTTTTAGAGACTGAGGAGATGGGATTTGCCATCACATAATCAAAGAGGAAATTGGTATTTTGCGAATTTTCAAACATGTCTGGACAAATACAACGTAATAAGTCAAACTGAAACAGGAACTACAGTGGCTGTGAAGGCATTCAGAAAGCAGGAAATGACACATCCTACAGGTTTATCGTGTCTGTTGAGTACACAGAAGCAGAAATCAAATAGAAAACAAAGAATTTACAGTATGCTCATCAACACATTTCAAAAAAATCTTGCTATTTTTTGATGTCCTAGCTCTGTCTTGAAGGTTATCTATCTTTATCCAAACTAATCAAAATTTTCTGATTTATATCCGCTGTGGGAAAAGCTTTAGGCAGATGTATTATTGTCCCAATACCCAGCTTTATTGTTATTGCCTGATAACAACCCAGAGAAGCTGCACATAGCTTTGACAAGGCGATACACTCCTTATTGGCCACCCACATGAACAAAAAAATAAATAAAAAATTGCACTGAAAGAAGAGAGAGAAAAAAAGGGTAAATAAGGGTGGGTGGTCATATAAAGCAGCATCATGTCTGCAACTGTGTATGCTATTACAAAGCATATTGTGGTTTCACATGTACACTCGGAAGCCTATCAATTCAGCTTACAGTACACGTTTTTTACAGAAACAACAAAGCAATTTTTTGTAGTCAAAAACAGGCGTGAGGGGGTGACATTAGAACGTTGCTGTATTCAAATCACAAGATGCAGTCAAACTTGTGGCTTGCCTGCAAAATATTAACATAAACAACCCACAGCAGGGCCTGTTGTGAAAGAAAAAGATTCACAGGTGCAGATCATTTGACATTCAAAAGAAATCTCCTTTTTCCTCAACACGGGAGAGGACAGATCATTTGTTTATTGATCAGAGAGGACTACGGATGAAATGAAAAACAGGGATGACGTCACCGAGAGGAGGAAAGGTAAAGGGAGACAAAGACAGGCTTTGATAGCTGGCTGACAAACAAGCAAGGCTAGGAAGGAGAGCGCTGGACTAAGATGACACACAAAGAAGAGAGGAAAATTACACCAGCAGCCGCTTCAGTGTGTTGGTGCGTGGTGGGCTGCAGGAGGGGGCTGCTGCAGATATAGGAGAAGGACATTCAATCTGCATTCCTTACTGAGTCTGGAAGGGGTTCATCCTCATCATGCGCCCACCTTTATCACCAGAAGAAGCAGCTTGGGGGGGTGGGGAGGTGTTGCTCTTGCAACCTGAACTTGGGGAGTAGTGCAAAACAAACCAGCTGCAGCCAAGATTGGAAAAGGAGAAGGAAGGGAAAGAAGCTGGAGCTTCACATACAACACAACCAAGATAAACAAAACACTGTGCTGCAGGATGATTAGGGGGGGGGACAAAGGCGAGCATACATACTGCACATGAATGATGGGACCTGTCAGAAAACATGGCATGCAGGTAGAGCAAGGACACTGTAGGGGTAGAAAAGACTTTCCCTGAGAATTAGGTCTCACAAACAAGCAAAAGGTTTAAGGTTATCAAATCAAAAGGCAAATGCACGGCCAGTATATATTGCTTATCGTTTGTCTCCAGTTGCAGCAAATTTATGTAATAGTATAGCAACAGTAAAAAAGCAGCGCATATTAGTCTTTAAACACAAAGTAGCTGCTCACATTCCTGCTTGTTTTGTTCCATTTCTGGACCTCTAATCTGCAGCAAATACGTCTCTTTCGGGCTACAACTTGGGACAGCGCCCCCCTTTTGTTGTGAAGTGGAAAAACACCGGCAGAGGAGAAAAACAACTTTGATTGGCAGTCCAGTTGAAGCCAGCAAAAAACAGCACAATAAAAAAAAAGTTGCCAACATTTAGAGGCACCGCAAGCGACAAAACCCGCACAATGCCAGTCAATCCTTGAGGATTAGGCATGTCTACACGCTGAATGTGTCCTGCAAAACCCGTGCTTGTGTGTTATTTAGGAGTAAATATATGGTGCTGCATTACTTCACAGCCACTTCTCTCCCCAAACCTTCAGATGATGTCATCGTCACCTGCAGCTTTCTCCTCACACTGCACCGTCTCATCGGGCTCTTAGTGCACGGACACGTTAATAATCCGCAAAAGCGAAGCCAAATTTAACACAAATATTAAAAGGAAGCGTTTAAATCTTCTCCCTCCTGTGGCAGAACAAAGGCAGAGCCGTCATCTCGCCGTTTGTGCGGTTAGGGTAATGTGTTCGGGCCTGGTTTTATTAACAGAAAATTAAAAAAAACCAAAAAGAGAAACAGGTAAATTTGTAGCTTTTATCGGTCAAAATTAAGCGTTAAAACAGCGAGAAAGCGCTGCGAGCTTTACGTGACGCTCTAACGGCTGGAGATGGAAACCGAGCTCAGTGCGTTCCTAACCCCTATATTCAACCACTAAAACCCCACTTCTCCGCCATCAAAATGTCAAGTCAAACTAGTTTTCTTTGTGAACTGTTAAGCGTTAGCGAGCTACAACGTAAGTTTGCTGCGACTGTTTTTTTCCCCTTTCCTTTTTTTTTTGGTCGCTAATGTTAGCCAACTGTTCGTTAAAAAACTTTGAAAAACAGTTAAATACAAGCTAGCCGTCGTCTATCACCTCGTTTTAAGCTTTAAAAGGCATTGAGGGTAAATTCAAGAGCTGCCAAAAAAAGGAGATGTTTTCTTTGATATAAATGATCCCTTAGGCAAATGAATGAACGCTACTGAGTTAGCCGCTATTAGCTTCAATTGTCTTAAAACTAACTTACCCCCCTCCCCCTTCTCTGTCGAAAGTCAGCTAACCTTATAACCTACCTGTTTCTGGACTCGCTGGCACTGGGTTCTCAGGGGGTACTCCATTTTACTCGCACAGATGATCATTTTCCAAAAAAAGTGTGCTATTTCATGGATGCGGCTATGTCCTTTCTTGGTGCTTTACCAGCTAGCTAACAAAGCCAGAGAGCCGCTGCTGGCTTCAGTCAGTCTGTAGCTGCAGACCGGACTAAGACGAAAACCTTCCTGCAGCTGAGCTGACAGCTCCAGTAACAGTGCGTCCAATCAGAGCGCAGGGGGGCGGAGCTCCAAATGCTAATGAACATCTGCAAACAACCGAGCAGAGAGGCGAAAACAGGCCGGGCAGACCGCGGGGCTGGACTAGTAACTTACCCTGGGACGGGAAAGTTACTAGGAAGGAGCACTCCGTGTTATTCTAGCTGCCACTAAAGACTTCAAGAACGCACAGGTTCCCCTCCCCAACTTTATTTTCATCAACATCATAAACAGAACTGCAAAAAAGTCCACAGATGAAAGAAAAAGAGACAAACAAGGAGAAGAAAAAGCAAACAAGAGAACAAACAAAGCACTATACTAAATACGATTATATGTAATAATGCCAGGGTGGAAATTAAATGCATCTTAATTCTTTGTCTTAACTGCTTATCCATTTCAGAGGATTAGTGAGGAGGAAGTGAAGGTAGCTATGAAGATGATGAAGAGTAGAAATGCAACTGAATGCCTGTAGAAGTGTGGAGATGTCTAGGGGAGAGGGACTTTTTAACCAGATTTTTTAACGCAATCTTGAAGAATGAGGAAAGGAGAAGTGTACTGGTGCCAATATTTAAAGAACAAGGGTCATGTGCAGAGTTGTAGCAACACTTAAGCCATGAAGCTGTGGGAAAAGCTGTTAAAGTTAGGTTTAGAAAAGAGACACTGGGATTAGCGATGCCAAGAGGGCACATACAGATGTGATGTTTGTTTTGAGATTTTTGATGGAGAAGTATAGAGGAGCTCAGGAGCCGGACTGTGTATTTGTGGGTCTAGAGAAAGGGTATGATCAGAGAAGCACGTGAGGGTGGTGTAGAGTATGTATAACGACAGCAAGACAGTGGTGAGGTGTGCAGCTGGAGTGACAGATGGCTTCAAGGTGAGGGTGGGATTACATCATGGATCACCATTGAGGCCCTAATTGTTTGCAGTGATGGTGGACAGATGAGGCCAGAATGGAGTCTCTGTGGACTCTGATGTCTGCAGATGACTTCGTGATCTGTAGTAAGAGTAGAGAAGAGGTGGAAGAGGTATGCTCTGGAGAGAAGAGGAATAAAACTCAGTAGAAGCAAGAAATGACACGTGTGTATGAGAGGGAGACAGGTTTAACACTGAAGCCAGAAAGAGCAGAGGTAGTGAAGGTGGACGAGTTTAAATACCTGGAGTCAACCATCTAAAGCAACAGATGGGGCACAAGAGAGGTGAAGTTGAGAGTGCAGAGAGGGTAGAGAAGAGTGTCAGGGATGATCTGTGACAGAAGCAGTCGCAAGAAGAAGAAAAAGATTCAATAAGGAGAATGGCTTTATGTCTTATTTTTACGTTACATTAGGAGGTGCTATATTGTTTAGACCCATAAACAAAGCCTGTATGTGGTTCCTGATTGTGGAATTTTACAAAAGTCATTACTTTTCTTTCTTAGCTGTTTATCCATTTCAGGGTCATGGTGGGGTTTGAACATACCACAGCTGTCATGGTGCGTGAGGCAGGGTACACCAGCCCATCACAGGGCTAACACACTACCTCCATGCATGTCTTAGGACTGGGAGGAAGCTGGAGTATCCAGAGGGAACCCAAACAGTCACAGGGAAAAAGTCCCTACCTGCCCAGTGGTTTTAAACCCAGGACCTTCCTGCTGTGAAGGTTTGTACAGCAAGAAGGTCGGGATAGGTTCTTTTCAACTTATTTTGGGTAAAGTAAAATATATTTTTTATCTTGGCATTGTTTATAAAGGTAGCTATACCTGTTCAAAATAGTGGGTTTATGGTAGAAAAACAGATGAGAAATGCTTTTATTTCCCAGCCCACAAAAAACACATTTACAGTCTTATTAATAAATCTTCACCTTTAAAACAGTATTTTGTACTGTAACAGCACTTCTTGGTATATCACTGAAAATGACTGTGGGTAGGCAGGTTCCCACTTTTGACATTTTGCTTGGTGTAGACAGCCCTTGCCCACACTGGCTGAGGTTATGATGGTTAACTAAATTTAAACTCAAAACTCAACCAACTGTGAGAAAACAAGCAAACAACATTTTAGTAAATTCAAATCAAATTAACAGTAGATGGTAGTTTGGGGGGGGGGACTATCAAATCTATAGTGTGAACCTTTGAAATGAACTAAGGTGAAATAAAACACTTTTTTAACAACAAAAGTGAAAATAAACAAGCAAAATCATCCAGGAAACTGAAACTACACTGATTTTAAAGCAGAAGTTAACAAACATACAAAATAATCCCAAGTCTGTGTAGTAGGTATGTTTAGGTCAGGTTAAGTGATGTAGTTGTTGTCCGTGTAGTAGTCTACCACAGGTTCCTATGTTTGGGAAAAGTCCTCTGTCATCTGATTTATCATCAGTTCTTCTCTTATATATTTATTGTTAGACAAAAGAAGCTCTTAGCATGACACCCACAACGTAGTTAGTTGTAGTTTGCGCTAAGGCATCGGCTATAAATACACCCTTGTCTTGGTAGTTTTGATATAAATCTGATATGATATTAATCTGATACCTGGAGTTTAAAAAAGGAGCATTTCCAGCTTTTGCATGTGAAAGTTATTCAGTTAGTCTGCTTTCAGGTTAGAGATTAGGAGGTGAGTTGAATTTAGGCCTGCATTGTATATGCAGAGATATAAAGACACCCTGGCCTCATGTTTTGTTTCGTTTTTCAAGCAGGGGCTGTTCATGCCTTGCTCTTGATTTCCTGTTTACTGACATTAACAGGCATTTTCATTAAGACTGCAAAGGCTGCTAAAAGACTGCGAAAAAACACTCCATCCAAGTTTTCAACACAGGTTTTCTGGTTTTCTCACCATTCCTCCTTTAGAGACACCAGTAATTGTCCTTGTGACTAATCACAAGGACTGATCATCATGTCTGATAATCAGTCTTCTCGGTTAACGGCACAATATACAATGTTATTTTAGACCACATGTGATTTATACTTCTATAAAGAAATGAGGCTCCTAGTTTTGGTTTAGGGGAAAGAAGCTGACTAGCTTGTGCAGAGCTCCAACCTCAACCTCAAGCTAACCACGGGGATTTACAGGATTTAAATAGGGGGAGAAAGAATCAGTGTATGTGGGGGTGTATATGAAATCAGGAGATTATATCAGGGGAAAAAATACCCTACTAAATCATCTGATAATTCATTGAGTAATCCTGGATAGACCTCAGGAGATGCTGCATGAGGAGACATTGCTGTCTTGTAACAATAAGCTGCTACAATAAAGCAGAAGATTTAACTGTGACTTAATGCATTCTGGTTAGACATAGGCAATATAAAAGATGCACGTAGCTTCAGGGTTTCAGGGTGAAATGCCTGAAATCTGCAAAGGCAACTCCTGTGGATCCAAAAAGATTTTTGGCTGTAAAGAAGTCTGTTTTAACTGCCCCACATCTTTATGGGCTCTGTTGCTTCATGTCACACTGAATAAATCGTGAATTTAATGTTGTAAATTATGATCATTATTAAAAAGGAGGATTATTCAGAACATGCTCACAGACTAAAGATTTGTCAGTTACAGTCAAATCCACCCCCGCTTCGTCACATCTGGTCTCAAATCTCCACGATGCCGACAGCGTAATTGCTCAGCTTGAGCCTTCATAAAGAGGATTTCCTCTCTCTAGCCATACATACTGAAAGATTTCGGGCATGCAACCTATGCAGATGTCCTTGTGTGTAGTCCCAAAAAACTGCTGTGCATAGCCTGACAGTGGTAATGCTGTGCATCGGGCAGAATGAAAAGCACAGGCAGTGTGGCCCAGGGGGCAGGTTTCATTATTTCTAACACTTAGTTTCACTTCTCCAGGGCAGTAGCTAAGCAAAATGACCAACAACAACAACAATACAAACACAAACAAAGAGAAGCCCACGGATCACACATTTTTGGCCCTGAACCCTGGAGGGAGTAAACAGCTACAGCAGGCGAGACAACAGTTTGCAAAGCCCATCATCGAACCAACACACAACCATATCGGCACTCTACCAGAACCGATGGGTGCTGTTACAGTGGCTTCATCCGTCCTTTATGCTTCTCCATCTGTAAAAATGCTTTATTATTTATAATTTATAATTCCACTAAAGCTGAACCAACAGAGCCAGTGCAATTAAGACAGATGGATCAATTACTGACTTTTCAAAGCCACAAGGGGAAGTTGAAATAAAACCACACATCCGATTAAACAGCTGAGCTTCATAAAATGTGGCTTATCTCCAACAAGTCTGTAAGTCACGCAAAACTTTGCAGAGGAGACGGTAAAATCTCAATCATCTCGCTGTCACACAGTGAATCGGTTAAAAGGAATGATCTGATGTAGCACACAACCAGCACTGATTAAAGTTCCTCTTGCCATGTGATATCCACAACTGACCACTGCATTCAGAGCTGTTTGACTGACCCTCAGCATTGACCCAGCTGTTACTTTTTGTATGGATGCATTCAGTCCACTCAGAATGAGCCATTTGTGTATCAGAGAGCTCACTGCTATACTTCAAATCCAGTTGCTTTCTGCGTGCAGGAGTCATAACTTTCACTAACATTACAAGCACTTCATTTCTATTAAGAATTTAGTAACATTAAAGTAATATTTCCCAATTTCCAACTTGTAAACATATAAAAGAGTGCACAAAACACAAGAAAAGAAACCATATAAATATGCAAAAGATTGCTTATAACCACATATTTCCTTGCTATGAGTTGATGTGTTTGTAAAACAAATTTGCTGAATAACTAGATTTTCTTTAAATCTGAAAACTGGAATTCCTGGCACGCCAGTTTTAAGAGAGTGTGGGGGAGTATACAGGGCCATTAAGCAACATGAAGGCATTGTTGCCACAGCCATGACTCATCAAACATTACCACACAACAGCTTTACTAACTTTAGTCAGTCCATCTCAATTAGATTAACCCGCAGTTTGCACAAACATCATGTGAATCTAATTGTGTGCCAGACAGAAGCAGTCCAAACTGGAGCCGAATTAAA